GGGGGGGGGGGAGGGTGTATACAATAAAAATGCCAGACCACAGCACCAGGAGCTACACACTACATTTCTTAACATCCCCAGCTAAACAGCACAGAGAAGAAGGATAAGGGACCTTTGACTTATCATCCTTATCCGAGAAGACTATAACATCTAACTATTTGCACACGTCATTTGTAAAGGTAGCACATTCTCCTGAGTTATTTCAGGGCCTGGTTCGGCCCAGGGCTTGAACCCTCAACCTCCTGCACTGCAGCCCAGCACTCTACAATGTGAGCTAACCAAGCTTATAGTAAGAGCTGCAAGGATCATTTTTCCTGATATTAGTGACAGCTGCTACAATACAATGTACTTACCCTATGCGATTGGATGTTGCCACAGAGAATCTCAAATCCATCCAACAAAAACATTTGTTTGTCTTTTGGCAAGTTCTTCTTAGAGAACTTCTTAATATCAAAAATGCTTGAAAGAGGGATGGACACCTTAACTTCATAACTATGATCTGTTAGATAAAGGTGTAAAAATAAAATGATTATGAAACCTTACGAGCCATTGAATTTCAGGTAGGTAAAGTCTGTTTACGAGCCTAGTGGCCCATCAGGCCGGTGCTTAACTCCAGTTTCTGTAGCATGAAGCGACTAAGAGTATTTCTACTCCCCCCTGGATGGGATGCTAGTCCATCGTAGGGTTACCCCCAGAATTAATTTTGCCAGTACCCATTTAAACACCTGGGTGAAGAGAGGCACTGTGAGAGTAAAGTGTCTTGCCTAAGAACACAACACAATGTCCCCGGCCGGGGCTCGAACCCAGACCACTAGATCCAGAGTCGAGCGCACCAACCATGAGGCCAACGCGCCTCCAGGTAAAGTCTGTACTCAAGCCAAATGGCCCACCCTGCCAGAGCTTATCCTGCTCTCCATAATATGAAGAGTCTTGGAGTGCTGTAGACCAGGACTCCAAATTTCACTTTAAACCATTCTTACAGTCTTCATACACTTCTAATAATGTTAATTCCCCTAATAAAATTTTTTGGCTTGGGTTAAGCAGATTTTCTTAGAAAGTGGCAAAATAAAATTCCAGGACTTTTCAGGTTTTCCTTGACTCATACAAACCATTGAATTATTACTAACTAGTACTTGGCCTCTGGATGGGATGCCAGTCCATTGCATTATGTTACCCCCACCCATAATTTATCTATTTGGGTGGAGATGACAGATCAGTTCATCAGATCTTGCAAATTACAGAGTTAACTGGGTAAATTGTTAGGAGGAACATTTATGATAGTAAAACTCACCAATATGTTCAATATTTGACAGAACAATTGGCCTCAGGGTTTGTAATTTAACACTTTGTTCATGAAAACCAGGAAGAGTACCCAGTGAATGGTTCTTCCTTATCATAGACTGGCTGTGCCGCAGCCCTCTTCTTAGGCCACCTGATTTGATTTTCTTAGAAATGTTATGGGCACTCAACCTTAAAAAAAAAACAAACAAACAACAACATCAACAACAATGAGAGCAACCTCAGAGTAAGAAGACATGAAAACAAACACCCTGCATTCAATCCAAATTGGAATGAATGGACAAATGAAAACTCATGGATTCAATTAGTTACCACTATCCGCATTTCTCTGTATTCAATGAAAAAATTGTCTCTACACAAGCCCAGTGACCAATTCAGCTGAAGCTTGTATCTTTTTCCATACCAATTTGCATTGACTAGCAAGGCTGTGCTCTAAGGAAAATTGAGCAGAGCCCAGTCCTTTGAAACTGTGAAATCCAGGGTGCCCAGCATAAACTTTTTATGAAAAGACTAAAATTCTTGAGTCGCCCAAGAGCAAAAGTAAGGTACCAGAGGTCACCGAGCACTGCTAGACCACAGCCTTGGACTAGGAGTATTACTACTGTTTCTAGATGGGATGTTAGTTCATTACCCAGTTATCTCCCAGCATGGCTTCCTCAGTTTGCTGGCACCCACTTTCTAGATGGGATGTTGGTTCATTACCCAGTTACCTCCCAGCCTGGCTCCCTCAGTTTGCTGGTACCCACTTTCTAGATGGGATGTTAGTTCATTACCCCGTTACCTCCCAGCCGGGCTCCCTCAGTTTGCTGGTACCCACTTTCTAGATGGGATGTTAGTTCATTACCCCGTTACCTCCCAGCCGGGCTCCCTCAGTTTGCTGGTACCCACTTTCTAGATGGGATGTTAGTTCATTACCCAGTTACCTCTCAGCCCAGCTCCCTCACAGTTTGCTGGTACCCAATGATACTCTTGACTCTGGTTTTTTGAAGGTTGGATAACACTATTCACTGGATAAATCTCCATCCTGTGGATAGCACAGTATGTTTTGCTATCAGTTAACCACTGGATAGTGATTTTTCCGTTGGATAGTGTTATCCTCCTTTGGGTGGGGAGGAACACAGTACGAGTTAAGTGTTTTTCCCAAGAACACAACACATTGACCCATGCAGCCAGATCTCAAACCTGCACCTCTCCACCAGGAATTCAACACACTAACCTACAGGCCACCATGCCTGCCACATCTGTTTGAATTAACAAAGCTGCTACATCAAACCACACCTTTTATTTGGTTTCCTTGGAAGAGTCTCCTCAAAACTCCTTGATGCGTGACATTTAGAGTGGCTGAAAGAGGTCCTCCTAGAGCTTGTTTGAAAGTGATGCCCTCTCCTTGCTACCTCCTCAGGATCAGCATCAACAAACCTATGCTCATCTAGAACATGCTGCAACCAAAAATTGTTTCTTGTTACAACTAAGTAACAGCCTACAACTATAAAAGAATTTAGTATCTTATACCTTTCTTTAATGCATCTACCAAACCTTTAACCACCTTGATGGCCAAAACCAGCCAAAGGCTACTCAAATTCAGCCCAAGAAATCTTGGTTACAAAACAAGCAAATCTAATCTTGTATATTAACTGGTGTAGCCTGACTAAGGAGAAGATGAAATGTCACCTTCAAACCATCAGTCCCTTAATGTATGTCCTGCACTTCCAAAGAACAAGAGTATAAATTAGAAGAATTCCATGTTGAATTTAGTTACCAAAGGGTTTGCTGGCTGATTAAGAAAATAACTAATTTACCAAAACCTATCTGTAGAAATTAAACAGTTGCAGTAAAAATAAAAAAAAACCTTCAAATGCTTTGATTCATTTTGATTGTCTGATTGGCACATAAAATACTAGTTACTACAGGCTGGGGTTTCAATAACTTTTCTCTAAGCAGTTGCTGATGGTGTATGTAATTTAGTAGCTGAGCTGTAAGATGAAATCCAAATAAGAGAGCCAGCTCACAGGCTCAACAGACAGTGGCCAGAGGTCTTACAGGCAGCAATATTAATTTATTCATGTTTTTCTCATTGCTATGTTCCCACCAATCACGTAGCTCCATTTTCTGCCTTTAAAAGCACGCACAACCCACAAGTCCTCTATTTGCTCCGATGAAGGGCTAAGGCTTGAAACGTCAGCTTTTATAATCGTAACGGTGGCCAATTTACCATTTCAACTTTGTTGATATATTCAAGCAATATTAATAGACTGCCTGTAATGGGTCTTTATTGAAACCCCTGGCTAATAATTATTAATTAAATAATAATTACAAATAAACTTGTAAATAAATAATGCTGTTACAGCATCAAGTCTTTAATTTATAAAAAAAAGTAAAGTTAACATATTTTACTAGTACGAAATGTAAGAAATACGTACTGGAAAGCTTTAAGCGGTTTAATTTTACAACTTACACCACCGCTGTGTAAGACACCAACTTAAAATGTTTTATTGAACAATCCAGCCTGAGTATGAACTTGTTTGAATACTCAATTGTCACTCATGAATGTCCACTTGCTTGACAACAAATGAAGAAATACAAAAGAGGATGCCATAACCCCCTTTCACCACTCTGTTTCATCCAAGATCAACACCAGCAACCCCTCTTAAGATTTCTCTTTCCTCTATGAATAGCTTACTAGCAACTTTCTTCCATACAACATTACTTTTTATATTATTATAATAAAAAATGCTCCCAAAACAACATGTTTACCTGCACATGAGAACCTGCAAAAATAACTCTGTATGTGGTAATGTGCAGTACTCCTTCAGTAATATCATCAAAGGTGTCCACGCATGTTACATGATCCTGCTGTGATACAATCTGTTCTCCAGGTAACAAAGGAGGATGGGTGTAAAATTTTTCATGTCCACAGATTTTGGAAGGCTGAAAGAAGAGGATAACATGTAAAATGAATCAAGATTTTAACCAATAATTATGGTTCACCTAATTCATAATTGAGCATCTTAAACATAAAACAAGAGGCAAGTTTATTATTTGCAATGCATGTAATTCCTCTCCAACTTGACTTTAAGCAAACACATTTTATTCCATTTAAAATGTTTCTACATGTATTTCAGTGGAAACAATTGATGTGCTTTAAGAGCCATTAACAGGTTTGTTCATTGAACTCCCAAAAGAAATACTAAAGATAAATAAATTATTTTCCCATGATATTTAGTCAGGCCACAGAATTAAATTAAAACCACTGCCTACTTTTATTAATACTTTTGTGTCTAATATTCTTTCTAATTTGATAAGGAAAAGATGGGTGCATGTACATTGATTGAAAAAATAACATATTGAAAGAATTAAGGCAAAAATTATTAGTTGAAGTACTTGTAAATCTTGCTACTTCTTACAGTGTTAAGTAAAATTAATGCCTGGAATAATTATTAGTGCATGTATTCACATGGGATATGTATCAGTAGGCAATGTTTTAGGCAATGTTTAATTGGATGAACTTCTAGTTAGAATCTCTTGTCACCGATTATAGCAGGATTAAGTGAGATTAAAGAGACATAAAAATGATCAGAATAGTGATATGATGCAATATTATTGTAGATATTAATCACTTCTACCTGCAGAAACAAGTCCCTTAACAGATCACTGATAATAAAACACACAAACACTGCAAACTGTCCATAAAGTGCTAGATATCAGAAAACATACCCACAGTAGGCTAAAATCCTTCTGACGCATTCAAACAAATCAAATTTATTTGCACACTGAGATATCTGTTATTTATCACTGCTCACCTGACAGCATTCCTCAACATCACACAAATAACACCTAAACGCTGTACTCCGCATCTCTGACAAAAGCAACCCAGGAAAGAGATCAATCAAATTCCTGATTTTCTTGCTCATGAACAGCAAAAATTTGTTTTGAAAATAGTCTACAGTTCCTGTATTGTACATCTTTGTAAATTTGCATTGTAATGTTCTGGGATAGTAATCTTTGTTAATCCCCAAAAACTATACATGCACATAGGTATTTCTGATGTTTTTTATATATTTGGCACATGACCAAAGAAGGAATTAAAAATACTTTTCTAAGGAAGTCAACGATAACAAACTCAGACAATCCAAACAAGACTGCACACTACGTAATTGTGCAGTAAAGGTGTCGATTAACCTATTAGGAATTAAAGGTCACTATAAGTGTCAAGATATTATCTTACTTGTTAAAAAACACTTGAAGAGGATGACTTTACTTTGAACTTAAATAAAAAGGAAACATCTTGAAGACAACCATTTAATATCCTCTCCTTATTTTCTTATATTTATGAGTTTTAAAAATGTTCTTGTGACTGTCAAATAAGCTACATGTGGCAGACTGAGATAATGTTTAAGTCACATACCTTTGTGACCCTGAACATTCACTCAGTTTGATGATTGTGATGAAATTTTACCCTTTTTGTTACAACATGCATTTCTAGGTGGGATTTATTGTCAAAGGTTGCTCTCCACCTCACCAATCAACTACAGTAATTTTCAGATAGAAAGATTACCATTAATATTAATTTTTTCAAAAATGCTATCACTTTTTCCATGAAGCACACTAAAATTAGGGATTGTTTAAACTAAAATACTTTAAAATACTTTCACTCCCAAGATATTATTAGTAAGTGTCCTTACTTTCTGCCAGACAATTCTTACAATGTGAGTTAAGAGAATTTTGTCTGGTATCTACTTAAAATAATCTCCTAGTTAACAGTTTTTTTTTTTTTTTAACAAGCTGGAAAAAGTATAACTTTGTCATCTAACACAGCATTTCCTCAGGACTACCACTTATTTGGACACTATAACTGAAACATTTTGCCAAACATTTAGTATGGAGAATGATGATAGGCTGTCAAGGGTTAAATAATTTTTTACTACCGTACAGTGATTAACTTTTTTCATTCTGAACAATAATAATTTAGCATACATAGGGAGAAAGACAATAAAAATTAGACATTTAAAACAACTCCTCTTCTTACATGATTTTCTTCACTGACACGAACGCTGTCATCTAGCCATTTTTAAATATCTCTCTCATCTGTACATATAACTGCATAATATTACATCTGAGACACAAAGTTCAGTGGAACTACCAGACACTTATTTGTTATATCAACTATTTCAAAGATCATTGTGGAAATCAAGTCAAGTAAAGTATCCTTGTTTGTCCACATACTTGTGGCAATTTATATAGTAGCTAGAGTGTAAGTGAAGTATATGTATGAGCACTTTCTAGGTATACTTTTTTCATCTTAAAGTAACTGAATAGCAAGCCATACATGTAGCAGGCATGTAGCTGAGCTATAAATAAGAAATTAACTGTTAAACTCCTAAGATCTGATTGTTAATTCTCCCCTCTGTTGGCTACATATTATTTTCCTTGTTAATTAGTAAATTTGGTATCAGTTGAGATAACAACTTCTACCTGATTAGTTTGAGTACCCTCATCACCTTTCTCATTTCCTCATGGATACTGTGAGGAGAAGTTACATGTTAATCACTTCTTGGAGTCAAAGGTTGAAATTTCAAGTGTCACGCCACTCAGAGATCACATTTGATAACAACCAATGATCAACAGGCAAAAATCCAGCTGGTGAACACTTTTTTTTCATTCAGCAAAATTTTGCCAGCACCCAGTGCTTAATCGGGACACCCTTACCACAAGTAAAGTAGATGGCAATTGTCACCTGCATGTATTACTGACCAACCCTAGTAATTATCTTGTTTCTGTTGCTAATCCACATTGAAAAGATAACATCAAAGCATTCCTGCAAACAGGAGTCCAAAGACAGAGAACCTGACATTGAGCCGAACATCTCTGCTCACTGAATAACTGACAACAGTAAAAGTGGTAATTAAACTATTTTTCAGGACTTAATTGCAGTGGACTATAAAAAAAAAATTTCATTTAAAGAGCAAATCAACTGTCAAAGTTTCCTCCTTTATACTGAAAAATGTGAAAATAACTTTTATAATTCTTCCACCTCTAGTCTAGACTCAAACATCTTGTAAACTAATAAAACAGCCTTGAAACCTTAGGAAAGCAAAATAAACCATGAAATGAAAAAAATGGGATGCAACCTTTTTTCAGCTCTTTTTTTACGATACATGTAAAAAAAATAACACATGTAGTTATTTTCAGTTGTTTGGATTATCCCACACTGAGCAAAAGATTGGTTACATGCGAGCTGGGCATCTCGGGTTTCCGATAAACTTGTTTAAACTGCTAAACTGTGGTTGTTATAATTCAACAGCAACTGTAAATTTTGCCTTATTGCATGACTGGATAATTTACTTCTTGACGAACTGGTTGACTTATGTTAGATCACATATATAATACTTCTAAGCAATGGAATTTTTTACTCCCGTAAAAACTTGCACTATACATATTTCCGTTTAAATATGAATAATTTTCAATATGGCATGTCAGAGTTTTAAAATGAAAGTTTCTGTTTAAAGGTTAGACATGAGAAAACTGAACCGTTATCAACCACTTTTAATAATTCTCCAAAATTAGTCAACCATAGCAGATACGTGTATATTTCACGTAACATACGTGCTAATTAATTAAAAGGAACAATAAAGTTTTAGATCACGCTAAATTAAAAAAAACCTAGTCATGTTCAAAAATAAATTAAGTACGTCCAGTTTCAGCCTGAAAGAAAGAAAGGCTATTGCAGATTTGAGCTAAAAATATAACGTGTCACACCAGATTACCGCGGTTACGTAAAATATTTAGACAACCTAGACAACAGCTTAGAGTTCCACGATTGACAAATTGTCATTTCACACAAACTAACCCTCACTTCAACAGAAATGAACTCCTGTAGAGATTTCGTGTAATGTAGTTTTACTCTTAAATCTACATGTTCCCGTCTGATCCAATTGTTGAAAAGGTTCACTTTGAATTAATTCTGAATAATTCTTTGGTGTACAGCTTCGTAATTTAGAGTACGTACCTCTCGAGGTTCTCCCCAATATTTCACTTACCGAAACAGTCGACGAAGGCGCTTCATTGAATATCCTTAATAGCTGATCTGGAGTGATAGAGCTTCTTTCCATAACCTTTTCGCAAACTAATAAAATTCAACGAAGGCCGACTGTGACTTCCGTTTTCCTCAACATCTTTAGCCTTCCGCCATGTTTCGTTTGAAGACGATGATCACGTGATACAAATAAATTAGAGTTCTTACATAGATTCTAATTGGATACGTTATAATAACCAATTGGAAGAGCTCTTGTATTCCGTGTTGGAGCCAGCGTGAATTTCAGCGTGATTTTCAGCGTGATGTAATTTCACAATTTCACGGAATTTTATATGATGTAACATTTTGCGACCACACTATAATTTCTTTGGATGTCTTGGAAGTTCTGCCCAACATTCTTCGTCTTGGGATTAAATTGTTAAAACGGGCAAAGATCTGGTTTGTGAGTATGCCTGTAAGCAGTTCTTCAGAGAACAAATTTACCATTCTGTACGGTTCTCAGACGGGTCAAGCGAAAGCTATTGCTGAAGAAATCCACGAATTATCTGAACAACATGGCCTGGATTCGAACCTTTTTTGTCTCAGTCTGACGGAGAAGAAATTTACCCTAGAGAAAGAAACCCTTGTGGTGTTTGTAGTGTCAACAACAGGAGAAGGGGATCCTCCAGATACCATGTGTAAGTTTTTCAGAAGACTGAAAAAGAAGACTCTGCCCACCAACCATTTGGAAAATTGTCGTTACGCTTTACTCGCGCTTGGGGACACCAATTACACAAATTTTTGTAACAATGGTAAAAACCTTGATAGGAGATTAATGGAGTTAGGTGCTCGGCACTTCTATGACACGGGGTATGCCGATGATGCAGTTGGTTTGGAGTTAGTAGTAGAGCCATGGATAGAAGGACTATGGTCTGCACTGTGGAAGCAGTTGGGTCTGGGGACACAGGATGGTGGTGTGTTAGATGTTGAGGCAAAAGTTCCTGTGATTGATTCATCTGGACAAGCCGTTGGTGAAAGCAAATCTAGAGAGGTTATAGCTGACTCAGTCGTAGAGAACACCAGCAATGGCATTTCGCATGTGACAGATCCAGTTGATGGTGTAACGAATGGTCACAGCTGTGAGCAAGTAGATGAAAGGAGTCTTACCAATGCTGCATCAGTCGCAGTGATTGCAACAAAACCTCCTGGCGATCAGAATTTACCAGTTGCAGATGACAGTGTCTCAGTTGCATGTAATGGTGGGTATGCATTAGCAAACACTTTAAGTGATCATTTAAAACATTCTGTGCCCCCCTTGTCAACTTCCGCCTTGTCTATACCACAATTATCACCAGCTTATTTACAGATAAGCTTCAATCCTGATCACAAACTGGACTGCTCCACATTACCTCTTCAAGCTGGTGCAATCTTCCCAAGTGCTGTAACTGAAGTCTCCATGGCAACAGTTGTCTTGGCAAGGCAACTGACAGAGAGGAATTCGATAAAGACAAGTTTGGACGTAGAACTGGATATCACAGACTGCAACATGAACTACGAACCTGGGGACTCCTTTGGTATTGCATGTCCAAACCCTAAAACTGAGGTTGATGAACTAATTTCAAGGTTAGATTTGACTGAGAAAGCAGATATTCCATTCTCCATTCATTTGATTCCATCTACAACCAAAAAGGCAGCAGTTGTACCAAACTACATTCCTGAGAACTCCACCATCAGGTGTACTCTGCTAACATGCCTGGAAATCAGGAGTATTCCAAGTAAAGCTCTTTTAAGGGTTTTGGCTGAGCACACTACTGATCCACAAGAGAAGAGAAGACTCCAAGAACTTTGCAGCAAACAAGGCACAAGTGATTACACCAAGTTTGTCAGAGAACCTTCCTTGTCTCTGTTGGACCTACTCAACATCTTTCCATCATGTAGGCCTCCATTTGAAAGGTTATTAGAACTTTTGCCCCGCCTAAAAGCACGTCCTTACTCAGTGTCAAGCTCCCCTCTGGAAAATCCCAATGGTCTTCACTTTGTTTTCAACATTGTAGAGTTTCCAGCCCTGGAAGGTGTAAGAGGCCAAAGGCAGGGTGTTTGTACTGGATGGTTGGCTTCTATTACGAAAGCGCAGAGGAAAGTATCAAGTGATAGCAGCAAAGAATCTGATGTTGGCCTGTCTCAGTTGACGATGAAAGATGAACCAAAAGTTCCAGTGTATCTGCGCAAAAATCTTCACTTTAAACTACCAAGTGCCCCTAACACACCCATCATTATGATTGGTCCTGGCACTGGGGTAGCACCATTCATAGGCTTTCTGCAGCATAGGGAACACATCCTAAAAGCGTCTAATTGCAAAGAGCCACTTGGAGAATCGTGGCTCTTCTTTGGCTGCTGTCACAAGGAAAGAGATTACCTGTACTGCCAAGAGCTTGAACATTACTTGTCCACTGGTGTTTTGTCGCGCCTCTTCCTCTCCTTCTCTCGTGATAAAGTCAACAATTTGTCTGGTAAACCAGCACCAAAATATGTTCAAGACAACTTGAGAAGCCATGCCACTGAGGTAGCTGAACAACTGTTTAACAAACAAGCAGTGGTTTACATTTGTGGAGATGCTGATAACATGGCCAAAAATGTGTTTGACACTTTTCTGCAGATTACTCAAGAGTACAAGGGGGTAGACATAGCTGAGGCACGAAAGGAAATGTTGAAATTGCGTGAAAACAAGCAATACCTTGAAGACATTTGGACTTAGTCATATATGTAATACAAGTTATGGACATGCATAACTTGATATTAATGGCACTATTGCTTTGAATTTCTGCATAGGTTAAGGAATTGCTCCATGGTTGAGACATATCAGTGCTGTCAATAACTATAGAGAGTAGAATGCAAGTAAGAAATCAGAAGCAGCCAGGTTATTGTGAGTGTCATTTTGTTTCATTCAATAACATACAAGACTGTGGACTATTATTATATTAAAGTTTGCCAGACACTCCACAAACTTTGCACAAACCATGGAAAAAAATTGTAATTGTGGAATCAATTTGCACTTGTAAACTGTTGTTGGTTAGTTATGCTCAAATAATGCTTGATTTACTCAAACTTAGGAAATGGCTCTTATGCAAATTTTTAGGCAAGTAATTCAATTATTGTGCATTTTTTATCAGTACTTGTGGAAAATTAGGTTATTTATAGTCCTGAGCCAGGTTGTTCAAAGATGGGTTGAGATAACCCAGGGTTACTGTGAAATTTGATTTCAAATCTGAAAGTTTTAAAAGACAATTCAGTTTAATTCCATTTGTCTACAATTTGATGATTGAACGCTCTTAAAAGAATTGGGAAAATTATCCCAAAACAGCTTTTGAACAGAGAAATATACATGTAGAAACCTGGATTAAAATTTAACCCTGGGTCAGCGCAAAGCAGCCTTCAAACAACTAGGCCCTGGGCACACATTATTTTGAGGTCTGTGTACTTGGCCTCTCTTCCTCTATTGTATATTCCACTCTAGACATCTCTAAAATGTTTTGTATAACCTTGTGAGACATATTTAAAAGTGCGAACCAAACAAGGGCATATTGTTGGTCTTCTGGTAGAGCAGCTGGATGTGGCTGAAAGAATGATGCAATGATTTGTTTGCACTTTAGGTAGGGAAAGGTCTTAACTCATTTGCGTAGTTTCACACTTGTGGTTGATTCATTTTGTGTTGGGCTACTTATGAATGGGGCCTTCCAGTGTAAATTGTCTGAACTGTTATTGGTAGGGGTTGGGTTATATTCACTCACAGGGTTACAAGTGGCACACAAACTACAAATCAAAGAGAAGATAAAATTTAAAATTAAGGAACAATACAATAATTTATTGGTTACAGAAATACTGTATACCATCTTTAGAAAGAGCAAATTTTAAATCTTTCTTCATTGCAGACTTTTTCATTCTCGTTAAGATTAAGATATTTTACACTTCAATTGTTCTTTTCTATTATTTGTTGAATTTTTCGAAGCCATAAGAATAATATTGTTGAGGCTAACAAATGCCTACTTTTGCTTAATCCCTCAACTCTCAAGATACACAAAGAAATTCTCTCCACTGGCTGCTATACATTTCTTTGTATATTAGACAGGGGAACTTGGTATTTAATCAAGATGACACCCTACAGCAGATAAGCTTGTCTCTTCTCGTTACCAGTTTGCAAGATAAATTATTACAATTGTAGTGAGAAGTTGTATGTGAATCACCTCTTAGGGTCAATGGCTTCACCCGATCACTATGTCAGCAAATCATTCTATGAATTAAACTGCTTGTGATGAAAGAACATAATTTGTGAAAAGGTCTGTCAAATTTGACATACTCTATCAATAAATATCATTGTTTTGTTCACTTCATTTCACAAATGGAAGTCTTCTTTAACTTGTTTACTTACCTTTCTTTACTAATTCAGAAATTAATTGGTCACAAAATCATTTAATCAAAAATTCACGCCACATGGTTATGCAGAAGTAATCTGGGTCTTCATTGGCTTTGTTAGCCTCTTGTTCTCAGGCCTCATTAGGGGACGCACTAAAAGTCAAGGAAACTGTGGTAATTGAAAAAAATTTTGTAGTTGATTGTGAACTAAAGGTAAACTGTGTATCAAGATCTAGAAGACTTCTGTGTCACCTGTTGAATCATAAAATTTTTCTTTATTATACTCTAATTAATAAAGAAAGCTCTTTCTACCTTCTTAATAAGATGCAGAACTAAAACCAATTGATAAATGTAATTTGGTTGCATGAGTTTTCCAATAACCTAACCCTTTAAATCCAAAGATCAGATAGTTAATTCTCCCCTCTAACTGCTACACATTTCCTCATAGATTAGTTCTGAGAATTCAGCATTAGATCAAGAAAACCATTTCTACCTGATAAGTATAAGTATTCTTGATACCTGTTTGCAAGATAATTTGTATCTATGGATGTTTTTGGGAGAAGTTACATTTAAATCACTGTTGAGAGTTAAAAGTTGAAAGCTCTTTAAGTGTCTAGACTAGATAAATTACTATTATCATTAATTTTTCCTTTTCCCATATTCCCTTGTACTGATTAACCATTGCCATTATATTTGTGTTGGTGTTACAACACTGATTCAAAAGTGCACAAAGCTTTCACACTTAGGTTCTACTGGTTACAAAGGTGACTTGTTCCCTTCCAGAGCATAAGCAAACTCCTGGGAATACCTCTTTTCCACGCAACCCTTTTGAAAATGCCACCCCCTGTTCCTTTCCATTCTTCATAAAACCAAGGGTTCCTTTATCTAGATCAAGAATAATTCCTATCATATCCCAGGTATGGTAGCTTTCATTTCGCTTTCCATCCATAGCTTCCCAGATGGGAACATCAAAGGTTAGAAAGCCAAATTGATTGTAAGCCCAACCTATTTTTCTGCCAATGGCAGGGATTGTTCGGAATGCTCTGGCCTTCTTAAATTCTGCTGTTACAAGACAAACTGCCACTTGTCCTCGGCAATTGTTTAAGTAAAATACCCACTCATGTTTCCCTGAGGTATAACCACGGCCATCGGGGGTGAGAATCAAAGTTGTGCTGTAGCCATTACCTGGCAAAAAAAAAAGAGAGTAAAATCTAAATGATATCACATTTAAAAGGACACTATCTCCATGAGAGGTACATCATGGGGTACCCTTTGGGTCGAAGGTGGTACTGTGCAATGTGAAGATTTTGCAAAAGGTGTTACAATGCAAACCTGCAATTACAGTAAATTATTTATTTCAATATGCAGAAAACAAACATTTGTTATTTGAGGTGACTAGTTCAAACAATAGAGAACTGGCAAGAAAAGAAACCTAATATTTTCAAATTTTCCCTCTGGTTGATTTATCAAGAAGAAACTACATGGAAGATAATTTATGGATGGTTACTTCAGGTGACTCCAAACATGAGAAACTCATTTGGTGCTTGATTCTCAAGAACAGTTTTCAAGTACTCTCTTCCAAATCTGTAAAATTTCCAAGCTGAACATACCTCAAACATCAAAGAAATGGATATGGTCCTTCAGGAGAAAGATAGGAGCAAGATCTCCCTACAGAAATTTGTTAAGTACTTACCCAACCCCCCCCCCCATTCATTGCTTGGGAATACCGAGGGGACCTGTCCCCCTCTACTAACTATGGGAACACTTATTAGCCTTTTGACCCCAAGGAGTAACTAGCATCTAACTTCTCCTTACAATATCACCCTTGAATCACACATTAAGGTCACAAGAATAAAGGGAATGCTCAGCACCTAAGATAGCTCTTGATTGTTCAACAAATTCTCCTAGTCAGCTCCTTAGGATATCTATATTCTCCTTCCTGTTCCTTATGTATACTGAGGGATGTTTGAGTGTAAAGGGTAATATATGCTGTGTAAAGGGTTATGGAAGAAATTGACCAATTGATTTTCTTTTTCTGACCCCCGTTTTAATGCAGGAAATGCGGAAATAGTTTGGTCATATCTATTCACAGCTTTACAGAGGTATACAAGGTTGATGGCATTTTCCAATAGTTGTTTCTTACAACTGCATGCAATACTGTATACACAAAATAAATTGGTGCATTACGTTTGTTTTCTTTATGTTGTTTTGATTTGTTTTGTTTTGTTTCTTAATGGTCAATGAAGCATTAATGTAATTACCTTAGGACCACCCCACCCCCACCCCCACCCCTAATGCATATCATAAAGGTTGTGAGACTTCATTTATTATAATTAGATCAAAATTAATTATTGAGCTTCCCTCGATCATTTTGCAGCCAGATCTCAAATCTCGAAAAAGATGACAATTCCATGAAAACTGACCAGTGAAAGTAATGGTTTCGTTGTTGTTGGAAAATACCACTTCGTCGGAGCTACTGTTGGGGTCGAATGCAGCCGGTTCCTCGTACTCTTTCAGCCATTCGATGACGTTTCGGGGAAGTGGCAGCCTTTTAAGAAGCTTCCTGCTTCCCACGGAGCGAATCAGTTCACGACGACACAGTTCTTGGAGACCTTCACAGCACTGAAACATTCACGTTAACTTTATCCTGTTTCAATAAAAAAAAAAAACAAGCCGAAATCAAGTAACACGCAACAAGTTTCTGTCGCCGAAGGACTTTTCTTTCTAGGTAACCTTTCCTGGAGGCTTGGTTGTCAAGTTCTCAAGTTCTCAAGATGGCGACTGTAACTGCCCTGTCTCGATCTGGTCTAACACATTAGCTGACCTACTTGCATGGCCATTTTTTAGAGGAAAGCTGGAATAATTTGAAACCATGGAATTCACGCCCATCAATCCCTGAGCCTTGTCATGCTCCATGCATTAAGATGTCATCCAAAAAGTTGCGGCGTGTTCCTGGAATACGACCCGAAATGGTGGAAAGACTTGCAAAGCATCAGATAATCACTTGCAAGGTTAGCTAACTCCTTTGTTGAAAGGTCTCTGAATTAAATGAAAGCTTTTTTCAGTAAATTTTGGAGATTTTTCAGTATCAAAATTGGAGCAGCAAGTGAGAGAATTGTTTTTGGCAAGCTTATTGTAAGTGCTTGAATTAACAATTTGCACTAATGTGAAAAAACATCTCCTCCCCCATCCCCCCTCGAATAAGTGTTCCCTTCCTTTTCTCCATGTATGTACGATTAATGATTCTATTACTCGATGACACAGGTGTACACAATGTGCACTTTACAGAGTTAAGACTACAGCTGTGTGTACACACAATCTCCTAGCCTACATGTAGCTGTACCCTCCCCCCGCTGGGGAGAAACGGATGGAAGGAGGGTGGGGAGGGTACCAGTATGGCTACACAAAGGCTGACTATGTCCAAAGGTACCAAGGGCACAAGCTTCTTACATGTAGTTCTGCCAAAGTGCAAAATAGCCAGCCATCTATTTGTATATTATTGAATATGAATGTGTCCATAGTTGTTTACCTGTTTTTTTTTTTTAAAAGCTCAGAGACCCATGTAAATGAATAAGCAACATATCAAACAATTATTCCAGGCCGGTTTGTGTCCAATTTCTTCATGAAAATGAGGGTGGTGGTATCCATGCAACTCTGGTTTAAACTCTGACTTCCATGTTGTTATCTCTGCTGATGTTGAACAGGATTTGCTGCAGAGAAACCACTTGGAGCTTCTTAAGTTTACTGGAACAAGTTATCAAGAAGTTTTAGAAATTCAGAGAGCTGTTGGTAAAGCCATCATCCCAAAAGTGCAAACAGTAAGTACTGATTTCTCTGTAAAAGGTGCTGTGTTGTGCAAAATATTTGACTAAGTATGAGGTAAAGATGCCTAGATATTGGCAAAGTTCTTTTCTTGGCATTTTTATGGACCATTCTGGGTCACAGTCCATAAAAATGATAAAAAAGGGTGAGGCTAACATCAAGCCTACTTGGCCAAACAATCTTGGTCAATAAAGGATTATTTTGTATGGCAAAAAGATTTTGCTTTATAAGAACCAAGAGTGATTGTTTCTTTCAAGAGCCCAGAAAGAGAACCCCGTGTTTGTTGCACAAAAATCCCACAAGAGTCCTTTATCAGTTTCTTGGTTTTTGCCGTGTTCTGCTGCTCTTTGTGTCACCATTGCCAAGCCCTATTACAAACTTTGTATAAGTCCACTTCATGCAATTTTTTCTAGCTTGGGATCAAAGTGGGCAATCCTAAGCTGGTAAGATGGGCCCATGTTGCCTGCTCAGTTAACAAATCAGAACATAGGACTAGGTTCATATTCCCAAAGGGCGCTACCAGCTATGAGCTTCAGAACTTATCCACACTGGATTCACTTTATTCAAAAACATCTCCACAGTGCTTAAGCACAGCAAATCACTCCTGTTTAAGCTGCAGTCACCATGAGACTATTAGCAAGCAGGCACATTTGATTTCTTTGGAGGAAGGAGGTGTGCAACATTTTGCATAGGATTTAATTAGGACTATTTTCAGGCTTTAAACTAAAAAATGAAATTCCTTTTACCACCTTTCATTTATCTTAATGCTTTCCCTCTAGCGGCAAAAATTGGATGTCAAAGACTTGATAATGTTACATTATGTTTAAGCTGTATATTTTGTGGTCAGGCCCTTGCCCTGTTTCAAAGATCCAACAGTCAGAAATCATTCCTTCCAACAACACTTGATGATCTTGATACTGCACTGCATGGAGGGCTGACTTGTGGTACAATCACAGAGGTAAGCTCTGTATACATCCTTCTTCAACCCACTCATTCACCAGATCTAAAAGTTTTTCCTCCTATCTGGTAATCATACATTTTTTTGTTGACTGGTCAATGATGATAATTAAATCAAGCCAATAGTCACAGTGGAATAATTTCATCTTTGTCATTATCCACTTGCCATCACTTAAAAATCACAAAAAGGAACACAGTCATCCTATTTTCCTTCAGTGTAAGAAAGACCAGAAGAATTATTTTTCAATACTAAGTAAAATGAAATCATTCAGAACCTCTGTGTTTCTGTGCAGTTTGCAAGAGACAAAAAATTTCTTGCTTACACACCATATTGTTCCTTCAGCTTTCACATTATAATCACAAAATTGGTTGAAACTTGCACAGCCTAATGCATCCCAATCATTTTTTAACCTTGAACTTCCAGTGGTGATTTCCAGTGACTTCTCCCTACAATAAAATCTTGTGACTAATGGACAAGGTATTGGGGAAAGAATGAACAATCAGATCTTGGATGTTAAAGGGTAAACTACCCTGTGTTATAATTTGGATATATCAACAAAGTTGAAATGGTAAATTGGTCACTGTTACGATTACAAAAGCTGACGTTTCGAGTGTTAGCCCTTCCTCGGAGCGACAGGCTAACGCTCGAAACGTCAGCTTTTGTAATCGTTACGGTGGCCAATTTACCATTTCAACTTTGTTGATAATATATCCAAATTATTTCGTTACCCCCACCAACACAGCCCCAAACAGTTTCTTTAGAAACTATCAGCCTTTACTCTGTGTTATAACTCAAAAGGGTGGGAAAAAGTACTTCGGACTCTTGTCCTGCTGCTGCCAACCATTTTTGCACTTTCATTGTGAGGCGTGAGTAGTCCAGTGGTCAGTGCGCTGGACTCTGGGTTAAACGGCCCGGGTTCAAGTCTTGGCTGGGGCTTAACGTTGAGTCCTTAAGCAAGACACTTCACTCACATTGTTTCGTCTTCTCGGATAGGACGTAAAGCCGGAGGTCCCGTCTCTTAAAGGGTAAGGGGTAAGAGACGTTAATTTCCCATGCACGAGATTACTGTGTGCTGGATGTCCTCCCCTGGGGTGGGTTTGGTGGGAAAACGGCAGGTCCACATCAGCTTATACAGTTGCCAATAAATTCAACCTGCTTGAACAAATAAACATGATGATGATGATGATGATGATGATGACCCTCTGTCAAGAGATTTATCTTATGGAAAGACCTTAGGAATACAGTCAAGTTTGACTGCTCCATGACTCTTAAGTCTCATTTTGTTGTTGTTATTGTTTATTGACACAGATAGCAGGCCCAGCAGGATGTGGTAAAACACAATTCTGTATTATGCTCAGTGTGCTGGCCACCTTACCTTATGACAGAAGTGGACTAGATGGCAATGTTATCTACATTGACACAGAGGCAGCGTTCAGTGCAACAAGGTTGGTTGTCCTGGATTGTAGGGAGAAAAATCTGACCCCAGGTTAATGGGTTAAGGCAACACAAGCAGGCATAAGTCCTGCTTTGTGCAGCAAGGTGTGCTTCCCCTAGTTCAACACCAGGTGGTGTTTGGCCAAGCAGATTTCCTTTTAGTGGGTTGCATCAAGCGCAGGGCAACCTCGAGATAAGAGCCTGATTTTTATTTTCGTTTACAGACGTTTTAGTACCTTCAAATTTTACTGACATTTGTTTTATAGATTGATTGAAATGGCGTCCAATCGGTTTCCAGATCTTTTCAACTCAAACGAGTCACTGCTTCAACTGTCAGAGAGGATACATGTTTGCTGGGAATCAACCTGCAGCTCATTATGGGATAGGTAAAACATTTTATGTAAACATCAATGATGTTCTTAACCGTTATTTTTCATATCTATTAATTCACCATATCATATCGTGATATATGTTTCTTTATGTATTTTTTAAACTACTGAATACCCAAAGAAAATACTAAAGGAAACAAGAGAGGAGAAAACGCAACCGAAATCAAAACTTGATGGCAATAAAAAGTCAAGATCTAAAAGTAGGTGGTGGCCAACTAGAAAGCCCTTGCTACTTTGACCACCACGCACATTTTTATAATCTGTACTTTATTTATTTTATTCTGTAATCATTTGTTGCAATTTTACTTTTCTATCTATGTTAATTTTATGTAAGTAGTGTGAAATAAATGAACCTTGAACCTTGAACCTGGAGATACATCGGGTGATTCAGATGGAGCATGTAATTATCGTTCCAAATCATTTCACCAGGCTTCAGAGACTCGAAGAGGAGGTTATATCCAAACGTGTAAAGCTGATCATCTTGGACTCCGTTGCTTCGCTTGTTAGGAAAGAATTTGACAGCAGGTTGTTCAAAAACTTGAATGAAAGAACGGCCCTTCTTTCTAAAGAAGCGGCAATTTTGAAGTAAGTAGATTTTTCCTGAATAACTATTCTAATATTGTAAAGTACAGTGTATGTTTTGAATTCTCATCATTTCACGTACTTTGTGGGTCGTAGAGTAGTTTTCGTATAAATATAGTGGAAAGAATTTGCTGCAGAGATGAAATTTGGATAATCTCCCAATAAGGCTCTGTCTAAGTGCAATCTTACCCCTCCCTGGTCACTTATGCTTGTTACAGTGAAATTAATTAAAAAATACACTCATTTTCTCATTCCCCTCCTCTCTCTCTTTATGCTATGTAAGTGATGACTGACCCCCGTCTGTTTCGCTGAAAACCATGTCATCCCCAAAATCTTCGAAATCCCCCCTCGGATCTCCTCTCGAGTTGGAAGGAAGTTGGACCTCAACAAAGTCGAGGAAATCGAACCCCTTCTGGGTCCTTTTGGTCCATAGCATTCTTTTGTCGTCACGTTTACGGAGATATATGAATTTCGCGCCTTAAAAGGAATCTGTCTATCTCATGTATTTATCGTGAACGGCATTTACATTTGTTTGAACAAACAAACAAGTAAGCTTGTCTGTCTACATTTCAGGTATCTCGCTGAGACGTTCCATATTCCGGTAAGATGTCTAATAAATGAGTGTGAAAGTAGACTGTTCCTTTCCTTATTTTACTGTTTTTGCTGTAACCCAAGGGTAAATTACGAAATAGAAATTGTAAAGCAAAGAACTAGACGGCAAAAAAGGCAGAATTACCATATTGACGAAGAGAGAACTTTAAAACCAAATAGCCTTCCTGATTTATGAAAAGACAACAAGAAGGTGAATTATAAGGCGGGCGCCTCGACAAATGTACAGGCGATTTAGGCTCCGTCATTTTTTTTCAGCTGAAATGTGCCACGAGTGGAAAATCTACAGAACGTGCAACCAATGATAAGCGAATTTAGGCTGCGTTTATTAACCTTTTTGGGTTTTTTTCAGGAATTCGTTGAATCAGTTCTGTGCCTTTCCACTGTTGTAGGTTGTCGTTACTAATCAAATCACCACTCGTTTTATTGGTGCGGGGAGTTCCAGCGGAAACGAGGTTTTGCAGGACGTCGACGGCGCAGACGTTGAACCCGAGGAGGAGGATGGTAGTCACGTGACCGCTGCGCTAGGTAACACGTGGTCGCATGCAGTGAATACTCGTCTGATTGTACAGTATTTGGACGAGAGATTTCGTCAGGTATTGACTCTTAAAATGGGTGATCTATCAGTTCTGTTCTGAAACAAATCGTTTAAGAAACCTAATCCTCACTAGATTTCAGTTTTCTTCTAAAAACAGGTTTTGATTTCCAAATCTCCAGTGGCTCCATTTGCTTCGTTTGTTTACACGATACACGCCCAAGGATTGGTTTTGGAATGTCAAGATACAAACGGGAACCGCCTTGGTAAATAACATAAAACCCCCAGATTTTAGAAACAAACTCACTAAGAGTGACTAGCATCTAATTTCTCCTTACAGTATCACCCCTGAATCACACATTTAGGTCACGAGAATAAAGGAAATGATCACCAACTAAAGAAGCTCTTGATTTTAAAACAAATTCTCCTTGTCAGCACCTTAGGAAATGTGCATAGAACAGTATGGACAATATGCACACTGATGTTAAAGTGGCTTAACTTTAAGGTTTTGAATGTTTGTTTGAAACGAACTCCCAATCAAGCATACTGATACATCAATTTTTTCAGGGTATCAACCTGAACCATAATTTGTGTGTTGAAGTCCCGAGCTTAACTAGAGCTCATGATATGTGAGCCTGTTCATACTTGCTAAGTGCACGTTATTTTTCATAAACCTATATTTTCGGTGTGAGTGATTTCTTATGTCATGGTGTGGTGAATATTCAATGCATCTATAGAAAAGTTTACTTTTTCAGATAAAGCTGACTGGAAATTTCAGATTTCAGCAATATAGCTCAATTTTACTCTTGGCTAGTAAGACCAAAAGGCCAAACCTTGCTAAAGGCACGAACCAATGTTTCCTTTAATGGTTCCACACTCCATTAATGAATGAAAAAAGCAAAACAGTTTGTGACTGATGTCTAAATATGATTTCCTTTTAGATATTGGCGGAAATCCCTCCTTACAGCCTATCCAGGTTCGTTCAGCTTTCTGACAGATCGCAATAGAGCGGTCTTCTTCAGGGAAGTTCATCGGCGATCGTGTTGTACCATTCCGAAATCGCACAACCACTGTCATGAGCTGGTTGTCGTTTGATCATCTTCTGTCTCAATATCTGGGGGGGAGGGGGATGGTACACACACCTTAATTTTTGCCCAGGTACCTGAAAAGAAGAGGGCTTCAAAGTCTCAAAAACTTATACACATATTGAGATCGAATTTTAGGCGAATCGGTGGGCCGTTAAAAAAAGGAAAAATTATAAAAAAATCAAGAAAAATTAAAAAGAGTAATCGAAGCTAGAATCTAACGTGTTGAGTCCCTTTACCTTTTTTTTCCGTAGCCGTTTTGTCGCCTACGGTCCTTTTAACGCCGTTTCAACGCCTTTCTTCGGAACGCGTGCTGTACTGCTAGACCTGCTATGCAATCCTTTATACAGTTGAATAGTAACACAATACGCGTTTCAATTATTATTCTGTGATGTTGGACGGTCTCCATCATACTGGATCTTTCCGTGACTGTTCGTAGCTTTCGAGCAAACTCACGAAGTGAGACCAAAACAACATGAGATCTTTTAGAGTTATTTCAGTCGACGTTTGCCTTTACAACACAGTATTCATTTGCAAAGGAGACTACAGAACGATCGATAAAAACACGCAAAAAACGTACTTTTAAAAAAGGTTCCCTTTTCACTACTTTAAGCATCTATTTTTTATTTTTGAAAACCTCCACTGAAGAGTGACGGCAATTGTTACAACCGGGTTATGGGTGAAATTTGTTTATTCGCTAGTTATTTTTAATAACTTAACTATTTGTGTGGTGTACGTTTATGGCATAAACATAGATAATCGCCTTCATGCTAGAAAGCTGCTGAGTAGGAAAACTTTCCAAATGACTTCAGCGGAAGATCAGAAAGATATATTAAACCAAATATTATCCAAAGTACCAGAAAGAATTCGTTTACAGTTTGCTAAAAATCAAATTCAAATTTTGTGCAACTTCCTTCATCTCTCCTTAACCAACCTAGCTTCTTCCTCTCCCCTCCCTCAAACCAAAACAATGCAAACTACTCCTCTTCTCTCTCGGCAAGGCCGAATAGTTAGTATATCTTGCGGGAAAATGACAGTTAGATGTATTCGCATCGCAGTTGTTAGCGTTACGCCATTGGGTGATTCGACACAAGCTGAAAATTGAATACAACTTACACCAGAGGTTTGTGGTATCAGAACTACGTCTACAGCAACACGCTCACTTCAGTCAATTTATTCGTGTTTTTCTCGTTGCCATGTTCCCACCAATCACGTAGCTCCTTTTCCGCCTTGAAAAGCACACACAACCCATAATTCCCCTATTCGCTCCGAAACGTCAAACGCTCGAAACGTCAGCATTTATAATCGTAACTGTGGCCAATTTACCATTTCAACTTTGATGATATATTCAAATTATTTCGTTACTCCCACCGACGCAGCCCCAAACAGTTTCTTTAGAAACTATCAGCTTTTATCAGACCGATAGTTCCTCGACAGAAACACTCTATTGTTTAAGAAGTGAGAATAAAGCCTAGTTATTGGAACGGCCCATAGCAGGTGTTAATTTGGAGTCTCTATTTCATTGTTGTCCGCAACCACGATTCCTGAAAATTCAGTCAAACGACCTTACTCGACTGAAAATGGCGGACGCTTTGCCTTTCATTCATAAACCTGACCTGTCGAAAGACGAGATGAGAGACGTGTCAACAAATTTCCTTAGGGCTGGAAATCCTTGTAAAACACCGCAGTTTATATCATAGTATAAAATAGCGCACGTAATTTTGCTCAAACCTATATTTTTGGTGTGAATGATTCCTTGCATTGCGGTGTGATGAATATTAAGTGAACCTCATAGAAAAGCTGACTCTTCCAAATATGGCTGACTAGAAATTTTAGATTTCAGCAGATGCTTTTACTCATGGCTAGTTAGACAAAACGGCCAAACTTTATCAAAGGGACGAGTTTTAGATATTTACTTTAATGGTGCGCACTCCATTGATGAATGAGGAAAGCAAGAGAGTTTGTGACTGATGTCTAAATATGATTTATTTTTTAGATCTTGGTGGGGATCTATCCTTCTAGAGTGGGCCTGCTAACCGAAACGATAATAGTCTTTCCTGGAAGGTTCTTGGCGATCGTGTTGTACCATTCCACAATTGCACAACCGACGACATGAACTCGTTGTCGTTTTGAGAAAAATATCTTATGAACATCTTATTTGCACCCGCAACTGTTTAATTCATCCTTAGATGTAAGTTGAAAATTTAAAAGTTTGAAATTGGCGGCGAGTATAATTGAACTAGAGGTCTGTCACAGGAAAATGATAGCATGTAGAGGTACCTGCAACATATGGTTTTGTTAGGAGTCTCCTTTGACTGACTGCAGGACGCTTCTGCGCCTTTAAAGGCCGTCGGCATTTCGAGTCACTATTTTGGCCAGTATCTAATTTAAAAATCCAATTACTTGCCTTTATCAGGTTTTAATGCTCAAACTTTGTTCCCAGAGAATTAAAACAATTTGTGAAAGAGGTTTCAATATTATGGTTTTATCGCATCTTGCGTAATCAGTTGTGGTAACTATGATCATAAAAATGTGGGCACTCTGATTGGTTGAAAATTATCCAAATTATATTTGAACAGGAGCCTTCGCATGCCTTTATATTTATCTGTATGCATATCAGTTCGGAGAGCGAACAGTTTTCTGAGAGATAGAAAATGTTCGCTTCGAGAGATAGGTTATGTCCAGGGGCAATCACCGGAGCATGTATTAAAGCCAATTGGAGGTTAGTTTGTCCATTATCCCTTAGAACTGATAATCAGTAATTTACAACAAAACCAGATCAGACACAAATATAAATCAACCTGTCTCTTCTTCTCACACACGAGCAATACGCTTTCTCATCTTGAATCAATTGATGCGTTAAGACTTTTATCACAGTAAAGGCAAGATAAACTTCACACTCGATTATTTTTGTTTCTGATGAAAAGTAAAAAAGGGGAATAATAGTAGAACATCGCGCAAAAATCAAACAACTACGAAAATAATTTGAATATATCAACAAAGTTGAAATGGTAAATCAGTAATTTACAACATTACTGATTTACAACATTACTAATTTACAACATTACTGATTTACAACGTTAGCCATTCGCTCCGACGAAGAGCGAACGCTCGAAACGTCAGCTTTTATAATCGTAACGGTGGCCAATTTAATATTTCAACTTTGTTGATATATTCAAATCATTTCGTTACCCCCACCGACGCAGCCCCAAACAGTTTCTTTAGAAACTATCAACCTTTATTCAACTACGAAAATACTTCGGCAAGGCTCATGACTTTAAACTTTCTCTCTTTTTTCAAACGGGGAGCCCCATTTAAGATTAAAAAATGGTCTGTAGTTTTTTTCTCTGAGTCGAGAAAAATGACATTCGATTTTACTTCCAAACTCGAAGGATTGGGTCACAATAATGTTAAAAATAGAACGCTTTCGTTCCATTTGCGTTTCAAAGATATTGAGTCAAGGAAAGTTCTAACACTATAGACTACTTGATAGACTCTTTCTTATGTGGAAAACATAATTTTCGTAAGAATTTGTTGATCAGTATTTTTTAAACATACACAAAAGCACAGTACTCTCGAAAGTTGACACAGGTCGTACAAAATAATCGTTTTGTTATCCATCTGCCGTATCTCAGTATTCTAGCAAATTAAGTATTTACAATATCGAAGGAGTGATCTTCAAATGTACGTCAGGTTTATATTGGGCAAAGTCTATTTTTTTCCTCTCAGGAAACTCTTCAAAATAGCGCACGCAAGACATAAAATCATGCCATGTGCCTAATGCGTCACAGTGAACGCAAATCAGCGTGTCTCCCTTTAAAAATAGCTTCAGTTCGAAATATAAGCTCCAGTTAAGAACCAAATGATATAAATATGCTTAACATTGTGAGATCGCTTTGTCTCAGGTTTTCAAAGTTTATCAGAGATACATATGCCGCATAAATGCCATAAACTGTCGCTTATAAGCCCTGGGTTTATGACGACGATCCCGTAAGGGATAAAAGGAAGGGCTTATAAAAGAAAGGGCTTAAAACCGAGGAAGGGCTTATAACCGAGGAAGGGCTTATAACCGAGGAAGGGCTTATAACCGAGGAAGGGCTTATAACCGAGGAAGGGCTTATAACCGAGGAAGGGCTTATAGCCGAGGAAGGGCTTATAACGGAGGAGGTTTATAACCGAGGAGGTTTATAACCAGGATCGAAAAAGCCCCTCGAAACTAGCTCTAGCCTTATAATTTGGTTTTATCAAATAAGTAAACAAGTTGATAATATAAATTAACCACTGTTAAGAGTTTAGAAGCTGACGTTTCGTGGGTTAGCGCTTCGTTATGCAAATAGCTATAGCAGTGCTAATCAATATGGGTTTTGCATTTATTAGTTTTTGATTAAGCTTCAAAACGTCAAAATAAAACGAATTCATTTCAATGCCTTTGGAACTGAGTTAAAACTAACAACACGAATAAAACTGGGTCATAAAAAAACAGACGTTCACACTTTTCCCTTGAAGTTCATCTTTGATAATTAAAAGGAACGGTAATAAACTTATTGTTGCGCACCAATTTTTCAAATTTCCTATTTGAAGTAGCACAGAATTCCTATCTAAAAGCAAGAAAGAGAGGATGGGACCAACAAAGGAAAGCGAGAAAGAAAGAAAGTACACTCTGTATGATCATGAAATCGAAACTACTAAATATTATAAAAAATAAACAATACCATTTGAAGAAAATAGAAAGTGAAATTCATTTGTAACAAAATTTTATTTCATAAAAAAACAACTTATAGTAAGTATTGAAGCATAGTTGACGTGTGGTGTCACATTTAAATCTCACTTAATTGCTTTGAATGTACGTTTTTATTTAACTCTAAGTCCAAAACTTCTGGATATTTGATTACAGTTAAGTTAATTAATTTTTTTAATGATCGAAAATCACAGTCGCATCTTCAAATGTCACTGTCAACGATTATGATAAAATGTAGATGAGAATGAACTGGAACGTTAATATAAACTCATGTGTAACTGTGCAACTGCAATATTACTTAATTGCTTTGAAATGTACTATTTCTTTCAACTGTAATTCTTTAACTTCTGGGTTTTTGATTACAGTAAAGTTACTTAATTGTTTAATAATTGAAAATCACAACTGCATCTTCAAATGTCATTGTCAATGAATACGATAAACCGTAGATGGGAATGAATTGGAACATGAATACAAACTTCTATATCTGCAGCTGTGTAACTTTTCTTGTGAAATATAACTGTTAAATTTTGGAAATAAGCATTAGAACGGTTTTCATGAACCCGGAAACAAATAGTATGAATAAGTACTAAATAGCGCTAAGTAAACCGAAAAAAGAAAAGAATTTGAGTGTAATAGCAGTCAACACACTATTTATTTCATGGATTTATGAAAATTAATCTATAGGCCTTTAAATTGTTTGTTTCAACCAATTATGCTGTAACAGCAGCTACATTGAGCTTGTCATTGTAAACGATGGTGGCATTGACTGTGAGGATCATCTCCACGATCTCACCATCGCTTAAGTCATAGAATGTAGCTGGAACATCATTTTGAGTTTTGTAAAGCTCATAAAGGCTCTCTAACTTTTCTTCGAAGAGCATAAGAGTAATATTTTCATCAGCATCTAAAGAGAATTCAGCTGTAGTGAAGAATCGTGAGGGAAATTTTGTTTTCAGTTGTGCTAAGCCACATTCGCTGCACTTTACTATTTTGCTTTGTTCAACTGGCACCACCTATGTGTGGCATTTTTTGTATGATAAGAATCTAGGCAAAGATTTTACACCGTCTGTTGAACAATTGACAGTTTTAAATCGACTGTTAATGTTGAATTCCTGGTCAAGATCAAATGTTTGGTTAATCTGGCAGATGATTGATTGCTTATTCAATGTCAAGCGCTCGTTGTCATTATACTTTCTCACCATAACTTTGTACAGCTTGTAAGAAGAATCTGAAGTTATCTTTGTGATGTCATTTTCCCATAACACGACTCTGATTGATGCTGAGTCATCAGTTCTAGATGGTTCCTGCTTCTTAAGAGGTTTTCTTTTTGTAAGAATAGTCTCTACTGGCCCATGAAATACAACTTTCCTAATAACAGAGACTAGAGATTGATCATTTTCCAGCCTTCTTTAATGTAAGTCACTGGTATTATTTGTGGTGTTGCTTGTCATGTCAAAGCTTACTTTATCTTCACCTGGTTTTTCTACTTTTGTTCTCTTGTTTATATGGATTTCGGCTTCGTTGGTCCGAGTGTTCCTTTTAAAGTTATAATTGCTTATCTTGATTGGTGAGGAAATCTTGTACCGTTTCTTGAATATGCTGTGTTTCTCAGCAAAGAAAAAGACACTTCTAAGGGTTCTGTTTGCAGTTTCATATAAAAATACATGTTGTTCCTTTGGCTTGTCTTAGTTGGGGAAAGGCCAGGGGAGATATGCAATAATTGGTGGTGATGTGAATTAAAAGGAAAAATTTATGTTAGGGTTTTTCTATTCGGTCAGTGAAAAACAAAAAGGAAATAGTAGAGATAGGGGAAATAATTATCATCAGAAATGCCAAACTTCCATGTAGACAAATTTGCTGTAAGAAAGCTCATCTTTATTCACCACATCTTGCCCAACGACATCAGCTAATTCCAAAAACAAAATTTTATTATTAGTTGACGATAGTAATAAAATATAAAATATAAAATCGCTAATTGATTTATAGTGTCATTCCAAGGTTTACTGTTACAGTCACAGATTCACAAGTCATAATGAAATGGAAAGGATATCTTGCTCATTGTGCCAATTCATGAAAATAATAGCCAATGATCAACTATCAGACGGAATGGTACTGTAAGATCAATACGATAATGAGCATAATTAGCATTTAAACTGTTCTATTAGATTGGTAATGATTTCATGTAGCGAAAAAAATTAAGTTGCGTTATGAGTTATTCTTATGTGAAGAAATAGCTGTAATTAACCGAGTCCGAGGACCATACCGTAAGCTATGGACCAGGTTTTTTTTTTTTTTCCACTGCCTTATGGCTCAAGCACGTAGCACGTCGGCCATAAAAAAGTGGGAAAATGAGGATCCATAACTTACGGTACGGACCGAGCAAATGAAGTTAATTAGATATATATTACATGCCAAGATAATTTTGAGTTTTGATTTTTGGTCTGTACTGTAAGTTATGGACTGCAAATTGACTAATCGTAGTTTATGAAATTACCTTGTTATACAATAAAGGAATCGTACTGGCAGGGTTATTTTTGGCAAATGAAATGTGTACTTACCTTTCTTTCAGCCATGATTTAAGCTGTTGAAAAGATATAAGAGAATTAGTATTATTCATAAAGAATCTGAAATCATTATAATTAACCAAGAGCCATAATTGGTCCCATTATGGGTCTTGCTTTTATGTATAGTTAATGCCCACGAAAGTTTGAGAAGAAGTTGCTGTCTTTCATGGAAAGTACTTCCTGCATTTACAGTTGCCGTTATTGGAGTAACGGGAACACAGTTGGGAATATCTGAAATTGAAGGTCCAGAATAGTTATCAAATTTGACAATTTACCGCCACTGGTGGATAACCCGCACCTTAAAAGCAAAGAAAATTTGTACAAGAAGGCTCTAGAATTCACAACTATTCATCATGACTTGACAGAGTGCAAATTCGTGGCCACATTTTGTGTGAGTGATCGTTCAGCGCGATGTTGATTTGTTGATTTCTCAAAAAAATCGATATCTCCAGTTCTACTGGGGCCTAACAAGTCCCTTAAAACGGGAAAATTCTCTTCAGCTCAAGCTAGTGTTAACTGGAAATTTGTTACTGATGCGCCGGATATCCTTGGATTATTTTGTCACCATCACAGTTTTGTTTACACGCGTGCCGATAAAAATTTGTTCGCCGCGCAACTAATTGTGCGTGAAATAAACTCGAGTCGGCATCATGTTTTCGTGCCGCTTTGTGGCACTCTTTACACAGTAAAATTCCTTTAAGAGGTAGAAAAACAGGTAGTTGACTAATGACAATAGGATCGCTGCCTTGCTTCGCTAGCTTCAGGCTCGCCCCGCTGTGGCAGCAAAAATTACTATAGATGGTTTGCACGTTACGTCATTGCCGTCATGTTGGTGGACGTAAACAATAGATATCTCATTAGGTGCTTTTGTTCGTCCACCAACATTTGTTCCTTTCACCATTGTTACCTGTGTCTCTAGAGATTGGTTGCAAACCACCTATTACTTGAAAAATAATATTCGCCAGGTAAAGGAACGTGTGCGAAGCCGTAACGAAATCTTGTGACATTTTCGCGCGTAGAACAACTGCTATATTTTCTATTGTCGAAGTTCAAAAACGAAAAAGCCGCACACACTGTATTTGCCAAATTATTTGCTCAGTGAAACAGTCAAATTGGTTTGGATGTCGGCGGTAACATTAAGGTTAGTAACCAGTAAAGTAGAAGCCGTTAATTTTGCGCTTAAAAGCTTGCGCATGCCTACCAGAATCTATAGTTTGTAAGCTTTTTAGTGATATATAGTTTTCCATGGCTTCTTTTAAAAGGGGCCAAAGATAATTCGGAAATGGCCTGATAAATTTTCGTTCCGCCACGGCGCAAAATGAGAGTTATACTAACTATGTTGAAATTCATTTGCAACTCAAGTTTACGGTACTGGAAGAGCTTTACCAGGACACTACATCGCAAGTGGAAGCCCGTTACCTGTATGCTGTTCCTGCTTGTTCTTGCTACATATTTTCTTGGGATGAAAACTTTATTCACGACGCTGCCTCACCAGCTTCGCTTAAAACAGGTGGATTTCCAGCCGATACCTTATACGAGGTTAGGAAAGTGCGATCCGAAACCAGATGGTAGCATTTATTGTCCCGATATTCGCAAGAAAGGGTCGACATCGCTTCGACGAGCTCAACTAGTGCTAACAAGAGTTCTTCGGATCTTCGATATCATTTCCAAGAAGCACGGCATTAAATATTGGCTCTGTAAAGGCACTCTATTGGGAGCTGTTCGACATAACGGACATAATCCCTTTGACAGTGACGTGGACATTTGCATCCCCAAAGCAGAATATCAAAAGTTTATCGAATCCGGTGTTAGTGAGCTTCCAGATGATATATTTTTCCAAACAGAGGACACAGATGTTCATTACAAAACTCCACCGCAGAGCGGGATGCTGGGGAAATTACGCGACACCAAAAGCTGTTATAAATACTGTTTGCGTCGTGGCTGCAAGCACGAAGATGGTCTAATGATAGACATGTTAGTGTTTGAAAAGGACAGGGATGGAAACTTCATCGAACTCTTTAGCCATACCAATTGGCTTTTACGAAGGTTTATATACGGACCCATAATAAGAAAAGAAAGCGACATTTTTCCTTTAACAGAAATGAATTTTGATGGATTTTCCATTCCAGCTCCTCGTGAATGGAGCAAAATTCTCAAGACGTATTACGGCGATTTTATGAGAATACCATACGGGGCGCCGCCTGCCTTTCTTGATTCAGATGCACTGCGGAGCTGTGAGGAAATAAGGAAATCTTAAAAACAGTAGGAGTAAAACGTAATGTTTGCTACCTGATAATCACGTTAAGTCTAAAACGAATCTTCGCATCGAATCATTTCTAATAGTGAGAGCAGTATCGATGTAAGCCTAGGAAGGGGTTTACCCCTGGACTATTCTTGGTAGGGATTTCAGTGCCGCCCCAAATCCTAATCCTTTTTCAGGTATAAACATACCAAATTTCCACACACCTCGGCCTAGTTGTTCAAGGAGCGAAAAACGTTATCCAACAGATAAATCGCTATCCAGCGGATAAGAGTGGATAAAAAGTGTTGCGGTATCCACTGGATAGCGAGTCACCCAGCGGGTAACCACAGGTTTTCTTACAAACTTGATAGTAGAGATGAGAGCTTTGATGCAGTATTTAAATAGAGAAATTTAGCTTTAAGGAATAATCAAGCCGCTTGTATTTGAAAATTTCGTCTAGTAATAAAATGCAGTGATGAATGCTTTTGCTCCATTCTAGAAGTTCTCTGAAAAAATCCCCTCAGGCATTTGGCCCGTTAATTAGAGAAAAGAAAGAGAGGATCGAAAAGTTTGAATAACATACCTTTGCACTGTTGATAAACAGAAGCCATGCAGAAATGTTTTTCACACATATACCAGCCCCCAGTCAGCTTTGAATGAATATTGTGTTACACAAACCTTTCCCACCAGCGGTCACCCGCAGAGCATGTGGCGTTTTGCCTCCATTCTAAATCGTTAAAACCTGCTTACTTCAATAATTGGAGCGTTAGCGTTAACTTAAACCCAGCAACAAGAAACTGAATAGAATTTTAGAGAATTTTAGTCAATTTTTTAGCTTACATCATCGGCAAAGCTGTAGGGTAAGTTACATCTTTCGGCTAGGCATTTTTCTCCCTGGAGTACGGTGACTCTCAAGGGCCATCCACCTACAAAAATTTTCATGACTTTATCGCGCGATAAGTTTTGCTAAGCCCATTCATTCAAAAAAATTGCAATCAACATTATCGCGCGATAGATAAACTTATCGCGCGATAGAACAACTCATCGCGCGGCAGAACACTGTATCGCGCGATAGAACAACTTATCGCGCGATAGAACAACT